TTTTTCTGGGGCGCTGGGATGAATAACAGATAGGCTCACATTTAGCCTTTTTGCAGCTTCTCACAAGTAAACACCCCCATTCAACCAGCCTATGGCCCTGACTCTTTCTTCAATTGTTAAATGTCGACGTGGAGGCATGCTTGCAAAAGCTGCGACCCCGCCATTAGTGAGTGTATTCTGATTACCATAATTGGAAGATGTGATCACAAGGATGCATTATGTACAGGGAAAAAACTCAACATTCTTCGAAGCATAAGAATTAGAGCAGGTGTGTGAAGAGCAATATTCCATCTTTTCACCTGATTTTCCCCTGAAAGAATACGTAACTTAATTAAATTAAGGGGACACCTATTCTCATCTACTGGGTTAAGAAAGAATTTAAACATGGCAGATTAAAAACTGCCATTGGGCAATATTGGGGTTACATGACATCGTCTAACATGGTCCAAGCGTATTTTATGTAAAAACTCTTTAAATTGTTTTGAGTAGTATATATCAAACTGACCGAATAAAATTCTGTTCCAGAGACATGTCTATGACATACAATGACTGATCGCAATGAAGTTAACAACTACATTATACATCATTTATTTTATAAATATAACGGTGGTTCGAAATATATCCTTGATGTTTTGAAGACATGATGAACAGAACACAGGGTATACACGTACCAGTTATATACAAAGCCATTCAAAACATTTGTATCGATATTTACAAAAAAAACAAATAAAATTATATTATATACGAATCAAATAATGTATGATATAATAATGTGTTCATTGTGTTTCTAAAGATTTGTGGAAATATCTTCATGATTCCAATAGTAATGCAGCATTCAACTGCCCAATGTGTCTTATGAGTAATTGGTCATACAACACTGTGAACGCAATCAATGATCTTCGCTTTCGTAATTCTATTCCAGTCAAATAGTGTTGTATACCCAGGGAAATTCACTGGGTTTTAATTTTGTTCATTTTGTTGACTGGAAAATGTGCTAAATTAAAACCCAGTGAATAAGTACAATTTTGCATAGAAAACACTATTTAAATGATAAAATTTAATTTAAAACCCATTGAATATGCCTGAAATGGTAAATCAGCGAAATCCCAGTGAAAATTAGTCAATTTAAAGTAATGTCACAATTATCTGCAATAAACGATACTGTATTTTAAACGATACTGTATTTAACCTGTATACTGATTAGGGTAATGTTAATAGATGCGGATCAGAGTATCTACGATTCTCTCGTAATCAGTCATTACCTTGAAACACAATTAAAATAAACACAATGTAAATAGAACGAATTATCAGATTACCTAATAGCAGACGTATATTTACGAATAGTAGGCAATAATGAAGGAATTTTTAGATATATCAAATGCATAACATGTGACAGTAGTGATAACAAAGCAAATAATTCAAATACACAAATAATAAATGTACTAATGTAATGCAATATACTCAAATAGCTCATTAACTGTTGAGATATGTTGCTTTGCTGAGTGTACTACGTGGCTGATTATTTATGGGCAACATGTATATGGGCACGTAATGTATATATTCCATAGAAATATGCAAATGACTTAAATCATGATGCATCACTTCCTCAATTGATAGAGGCAGATAAAAACAAAGGAAACGGTGAAAGATTAGGTATATGTGTCATTATTTAAACAAATGTTTTTTTTTCGATTTACTGAGTATGTAGATACATCTAGAAGTGTGTTATATATATATGTATGAACATTTATGTTTCAACCCATTCTTAATTCATAGTTAACATTTTTTTTTTTTTTTTTTTTTTTTTTTTTCCTTTAAATTTTTTTTTTTTATTCACATATTTTCCCAAAAAAGTACATTACTTCAAAATAATCCTACATAGTAAACATAGTAGTTAACATAGTATTAGCATTACTTACCCACAACCAATCTCATCACTTTCATCGTAACAATCAACAACATTATCACAGATCCACTCATTGTCGATACAGTAACCATTGCCACAGTGATATTTACTTGGTCCACACACATGATCTAGGGGTATGAACAAGTATTCTTTAGATTAGTTGAATGTAGGACTTTAGATACAGTCTTGAATTGGCAATATTCCACGCTTATGAGACAAATCTGACCTCGCCCGATATTATAGAGAAAAAGTGATGAAGCGATTCGATTTATTTGGTAACGTCGCTCATCGGTAAAGTATACCTCGTTATGGATATACTGAGAATGTGGTGTCTGAATTATACAGTATTTGTAGTGTATGTAATAACCAACTATGCCTTTCCCGCCCAAGTATAAATAAACATGATAACATGCGTAACAAGTAGTGAGAGAATCTACACTGCTAATATTGATAGTTTTAATTTGAAAAACGAACACATTGATGTACCAATTATACACACAGCCTCCTGGGAGTACCTGCCCGTGCAACTGTACTTCTTCGTACTATTTTTTGCTCCGTCTACTATACTCATTGATTTGTGTTTAGGTGCAAATGTTCTTTGCCTCATGTATATTAATATGTGATCATTATACTTTGTTGGAAACCCTATACAACTATTGATACTAGATTAGTGAATGTGTATGTCAGTCATTCTTATTGTATAAACATTACAATTCATGACAAACAAAACAGAACATTGAATTATGAAAAGTGGAATAATAAATCTGAAACTCAATAAATAAAATATGCTTATACGTATAAAACAGAATATTTTACTTCTTCTAATAAACATGTAATAACAAATCTGAAACTCAATCAATGAGTCAGTAACGATGAACTTCAAAGTCTTGTTCATTATATATAAGTACGACTGTTACACTTAAAACATCACTCACACGTGATGAAATTGACGATATATACCACGGCAAAGTCTTGTTACCTACGTATAGTTAATGGTATCATTTGAATTTTAGTTTCGCGACATGTAACATACTGACCAAAAGTATGGATGTTACACAAGGCTCAAATAACGACAATTTAAGGAACTACAAAATCAATGCACGCACTACATTCCCTATAGCAATCATAAGACAAGTACATTTGCATAAACACAAGTTTTGACGAGTGTATTCTTCAAAAAAGTTTATCTGAATAGACATCGCGACCAATACGAAAAAACTCAACTTTACACTATTAAGTGTGTGAATTACAAATCTTATTAGTAGAACCGAAATGTTAAAATAATATGGATGTGAAACATCCAGACACGAACACTAAGCATGATGTGAACAAAACTTCGGTGATTACTAATCAGGTTACGACAAATACTGTAACTAGTTACACATCTGAATAGCAGAAGTTACAGAAATAAATAAACGACCAGAACAGTCATATGAACAATCGTGGTAGCAATAATTGAAACGACTTACCACAATCGATCTCGTCAGCATTGTCATCACAGTTACTAACACCATTGCAAACATCTGATAATGGTATACATTTAGACCCATCACATGTGAATTCATTTACACTACACCCTGGTAATAGCAGGTATAGGACAAAAGAAAAACTCAACTTAAAATTAAAATCACCATAGTAACGGTATATATCTATATGTTTGACACATGTGTGTACTTTCCGCTACGCACAGAATATTATTACGGCCATAATAAATAAAAATGAAAAATAGTTTAGCCGTCAAAATAAAACAAAAACGTGATAATGAGATGCTAATTCGTAATATTGTAAAAATTCGAATAATGATATATTCCAACGAATTTTTAAAAGTAAAATTAAAATGAAAATCCGTATCTCGTAATTCCACTGTGATTTGTGATGTATATAATGAATAACAAACTCACTATCTTCGTATTTCTCGGAATGTGTGAATATTTATCACCGAGCTATTATGACAGTATTTATGAAATAAAAGATAACTTTACTATTCAATCAAACATTCTCCGCCGAATCATAATAAAAATTAATACAGTTCAGGTTAGAGTTTTATATTTCAATTATAATGTAGTATATATGCAGTGGTACACGTGTATCCTGCATTTACAAAAACAATGAAAGTATATCGTATGCTAGTCGGATAGCACTTGTTACTGACCAATGAGACGGCAGCGCAGTGTATTATCATATGCTATATTGGTGTTAATATAAAGTCGTGGTGATATGTTGTATATTTATACTTACATGAACACTGCGGACCAAACTCGTCAGAACCATCTCGGCAGATTATACCACGATCACAAACAGACGACCCGGGAACACAGTAACGCTCATCCATACACTGAAAAACTCCTTCTTCTCGACAATCTAGCAAAATAATCATCAGTTCGAATATTTGTATGTGAATAAGTGCTGCTAATGACCACCACATTTTAGCTCGCCTTATTCACCCAAATTATTTAGAATCACAGAAAAAATAGGACATTGTAACGGCACAATATAAAATACAATAATACCATATAATTGTGTCCCTAATATCTCACGCGACTCATAGTTTTTATCGTCGGTTTATTGTTGTAAATCCACACATGTCTTTTATGCTAGTTGTAAACCTGCTACACTATAATATAATTTCCGCTTTGGCATTCATATGCTAAGTGAAATTGATACAGTAAACTGTCACATATTTTGTAAACCGGCATGTCTCGGTTACAAAACATATTCTGTCAACCTTGGCTAGAACCAAGCAGCTCATTCAAGGTGTCACGTCATGCGTTGACGAGGGGATGCATTTCTGCCAATGAACGTGTTCAAAAAACAACATCAAACACAGCTGTTTGAGCCTGTAACGGCTGGGCTTTTGGACTTCCAATGGCGTCCTTGGAAAATGGGTATTATTGAATTTACTCGACTCGACAGAAGTGTGTTTATATCTGTAAAACTTGTGGCGGTGCTCATACAACAGTATGCTGTTAAGAGGCAAACGTCTAGTGGCATATGGGATAGTTTCAGATACCGAATGGGTTCCATGGTCGAATTCATCAAATTAAAAACTGAAATTGATCATTTGATTAGATAATAGTTGATGATACTCTCAATACTAACCTACACAATAGTACTCGTCAGCATGTAAATAACAGTCATATGTACCATCACACCAGCGGTTTACATCTATACAAGCTCGATCCGGGCATTTGTACTGGTCCACCGAACATCCTGATCAATACAAGGAAAACTAACTTTGTATCAAAAACAAATCATACACGCAATAGTTACACAATAACACTCACGTCGAATCTGATATCAATATCGTATATAATGCAATGGTAGCAGTGAAAGTACCTTTACCTTATAAATCAACACGTAATCTTAGGATGCAAGAACTGCCAAGTACTGAACATGATTTGTTTTCATTTGAAACTAAACAATTTTACCAAATCAGCTAAAAACGTAAATATAACCTATACTGGAGTAAATAAGCTAATGTCTTGAAAAAACATAATTTTGGAACTTCACTAAATCGTCGTTATCTTTGATGACAAACGAACTTCTACAATATGTTATGCTTCAAATGAAGTTGATATAATATTAACCTAAAATGTACCGCTATTCATTGTTGACAATTATATGGAACAGAACGTGGTTTCCAATAAGCAGCCTGGTCGATTCAGCGCACTGAGTAGCCTTCGGAAGGTTGCAGGACGTTGGAAAAATATGTAAAAGAATGTTGTTTTTTTCCTCACATGTTTGCTTTTAAAATGGTATTATTGGACATTTCTATCATAATAATTCTGATTTTAATGCACAAATGCTGATTTTTTATGCCAGGAGCTTGCGATGTGTTGGACAATGTTGATTTTTCATCACATCGACAAGTTTATCGACAAACAAGTCGGAAACACATACTGTACTAGTGTTTTCGTTCGTACATACAGGGTATCTATGATGAACTATTTATACATTATCGCCTTATGGGGTATTCGTGGATTTGCAGCATACTGTATAAACGAAATTTCTTGGTTCCCGGTCATCTTTGCACATAACACCAACTTGTGATATAATTGTATTTCTCAGCTAATGACATTTATCAGTAAGTTGAGCATTACAGTTCCAATGTTACTTCAAACAAGATGTATTTTTTTCAGAAGTCAGCTTTGCTGTGACTATAACATTTTGCTTGCGTTTCAAGTCACATTGCTTGTTATGCAATTTTTTCAAGAATATTTCTCCTGTTTGATACTCGATGGATATAATTGTCACAAATTCATTGGTCCATTAAATTAAAAAAAAAACATTTTTGTTTCTCTATTTAGAAGTCTTTCGACAGAAAACTTGCCCAAGTTGATCAGGTCGATTTCATAAGGTTGGTGTCACTCTGGTGCTAGCGCCATATGGATTGTTGGTTTCTGTCGTTTATAGTCGGTGAATAATAACATTTTAGTCGATTTTTTGGGATAATTATATCTATGGCTTGGCTACAAAAATTGTGCGCTAGAATTTGTTTTTATAATCGCTAGACCACGAACAAAATATCGTCTTTTACCCAGAATGCACGAAAATAAAACCATGCCAATCCAGCGCCATCGTTGAACTCTCTAAAATAGTTTAAATATAACTACTATTGACAACACCCAACATCTATTATAAAATTAAATACATTGTCTTGCATGTAAACATTGTTTTTCATAATTATATGTGACGCATTTTAATATCCATAATAGTGTTTCTCATTTAAATGTGGTTTTATATTCATATGAAGTATTTTAATGTTCAAGATTGTGTTTCTCGTTTGAATATTAGTAAAATCAGTATTCACAATTAAATGTGTTCATAGCAGTATAATGCAATTCAAAGCAGTGTTATATTTTGTTTTATTGTTCAAGTCTTTTTGAATATCAATTTGTGTTTTGTCGTTCGATTGAGGTTACACATGACTTCTAACGGCCAAACACTCTGGTACTTTCTGGAGTTGTAACAGCAGTAATTTCCAATGTTATATTTTGTTGTGTTGTTTAAATGGCTTGCAATTCAATTACATTTGTTTTGCAAATCTAATTCTAATTCATGGTAATCTTGTACGGTCTGAAAGTACCAGGATTAGAAGTTATTAATAAGTGCCGTTTAGTTAATATGCCATAAGAAGGTATCATACTGAACAAACCTGTGTAGTTACAAAATCTTTCGTGTCTCGATTTACACCACAAGTACTCAAAGATGATAACTACTAGTAATACTATGGTCACTTACTGTCACAGTTAATTTTGTCGGAGTAATCCCGACAGTCTAACACATCGTCACATAAATACGATTGCGGTATGCAGCCTCCATCGTCACATGTGAACTCACTGGGATCACATTCTAGTTTAATAAACAAAGTATGGAATAAAAAAAAACAGATTATGCAAGCCAAAAATTATGCGTTTTTGGTATGATGTTATTGTAATCGCCCAGTAATTCAGGACGAGAATACTAAGCAGATTAAACCGTAATGCGTGAAAGCGTTACCTTGACAACCAACTTCATCTGAATCGTCATTGCAGTTGTTGACTCCATTACATCGGAAACCCGATGGAATACAGTGGCCATTACTACATTGGAACTGAGTTAATAAACAAGCTGAAATAATAGTAATACGTGTGGTTACTGGAGTTTGATTGATTGCTGTCGTATGTAAGTGTTGATTGTTCTGTTTCAATTCGGGCACAATATTAGTTTACTGTAAAGAAGGCGAGCATCAAATCTGCACATTGTCACGTGACTTAAAATAAATAATTTATCATTATGTATTGTTAGTGGTGACGTAGTTCTAATAGAGCAGCCACATTTAACTCAACGTTAAATTCATGCAACTTAATTTCGAGATAACTAAAACTTTGTCCGTTCGTTAGCATCTAATTCAAATAGTTTCCAACTTAGTCATAAATCAAAAAGTAAATATTCATTAGACCAGTAACAACCGGTAATTTGTGACCCATTGCCTAGCTATCGATTTGACCTAATTATATATGTATGTCGATGCTTCATTGATTCAGTGTGCGATGGCGAAATTGAACAGAACACAAATTATTATAGAAGGGCTTACCGACTGTTGTGGAAATTGGGTATGTGTCCGTAGTCGTATTAGACGTTTTTGACAAGGTTGTATCAGCAATGTCTGCAGATGGTTCAGTAGTTGTCGACTGCCTTGGTAATGTTTCCATATGTGTTAATCGCGGTGGACGAGTCTTGCCTGATATGGTGCTGATGGATTGTAGATTGGCTGTAGCAGTATCAGGATTTATGACATTTGATTCAGTAGTTGTCCATTTCGTTGGGTTTATCTTTGTGTTTTTCTATATACGTTCTATGAGTCTGGTATTCATATGGTGTACCAAATTTGGTATGGGTGTTCAGCTTCATAGTCGCGGGAAACGGTGTTCACATGTGACGAACCCTTCCACCTATATTTATACATTACATTAGACGTTAGAATATCACCACATAAATATGTGTTTATATAGGTTCTTTGTACATGTGTTATGCTTGTATATTTTCACATACAAGCGATTACACATATACATACACTGATAACAATTGTTCACGAGGACAATTTTGTTCACGAGCAGAGACATTATCTATATGGAATTCATTGTAAATGCATTCAAAAGAAGTGATTTACAATATACAATACAAATATGAACTGCTTTATTATAACAATGATCAAATGAAACACTTCAATAAACAGGGCGTGGTAATATTTCTCAATAAAAAACTTACTTCTTGTTCTGTTGATATCCAAGAAATATAGACCAATCCCAATGCCGATGGACAATATAAATGAAACATAGAATGTAGCCAGTATACGTGTTCCACGTACTTTGAAATCGGTGTTTGTGTACTTCTTGGTTCCTGACATGATGAGATTTTAATACTGATCCGAGTAATTCCTAAGTGCGTGTAAAGAGAATATTGTATTCGCGTGAATAGATGGTATAGCACCTGTCAAACCAATAGTGACGTCAATTCAGTTATATATACATATGTGTATATTTAAACCAGTTGAAAATTTTAGGCATGTTTTGAGAAAAAAAGCACGAGACAAATTGAAAGAATGGAGGGCGAAGACGACAGAGACTTACTTTTACATCAAGTCTAGGCCAAAATGTATAGAGAATGACTAATCAGAAACACGGCAATAGGAAATTATTGATGACCAAAGCCGCCGGCGTTCTGGCAGAACAGAGTACTTAGAAGAAGGTTCCCTGTGAAAATGTTAATCTGGTACATATTAATAAAATGTCATAACAAATGATATATTTACATATATTCAAGGTTATGTTTGAGCAGACAGTGTTGCAGCTGATCATTCAAAGAAATAAGAAATATTACTATTAATGCACATTTACGAATTACGCAGGTCTGTCAACAAAATCTAGTTAACATAAAATAGGAGATTGAATTGTAAAATCTTTAGAATCTTTCCCGAGGAAACAACACATTCAATCCTATATATAAACACAACACGTTTGGTTCAGTGTTCAGGAGAGTGGACGAAGCAACTCTTATTTTGTTGATCTTAAAACGAAAGCATAAAAATGTATACACTTAAGAAGACTTCGACGAAAAACTCTGTCTTGATGGTGCGTTAACCAATCACACATGAACGATTCATCAAATTCAAAATATTATTTACATCAGCAATTTAGCATTTCAACATGTATCTAAGCAAGGTTTGTATTAGACTGCATGAATTCAATTTATTTACATATAAATGTTATTGGTTGGTTGGTTACTTGTACATATATATATATTCACATCTGATATCAAGTCCGTGATCATTAGTGTTTCTTTGGATGTTCTGTAAAGTGTTGTTGTATGTGCACATTTTGTATTACCCGATTTGGTATATTTCATCAATGTTTTCACAACCGGTTAGGGTCGTGTGGTGGCGCTTCTAGGACATCACGATTGCCACGTTTCTGGATGATGTCATATATTCCGCCTGGTACTCGAGTAACCAAGTTCACTCGAAAGGGATTTTTATTACTGTCAGTGGTCGTCAGGCTTAACAGTAGCTTTGTTGGACCATCTTTTGTATATGTAGATACATTAGTTTTGAGAACTTGCTAACAGAGTAACGAGGTAAAAATGTGCATAAAAATATAGTATATTGGTACATGATTACAGTGCGAGTTCGGATTTGTTATGAATGTGGGGTAAAAGTGCTACCTTGACTGTGATTAATATTGAGAATTGATAATTTTGTATTAGGAGTTTTTGATCTAGTTAAACATTGATTACCTGTTGCCGGTGGATGTTAGACAATGACCAAGTCCTAATTTTGTGTTAACTGATGCATTTGCCAGTGGTTTACTGTTGGCCTTGGTGGGGAATGAATCTATAGGTAGATGGTTTGGATGCAGAAAGCATCAGGGGATTCACGTGGCTGACGTATAGAACACTGAAGAATTTCGTCGTATGTTACATGGTAGCAGTGGTATTGTCAAATTACTCAGCTCTTGTTAATTGCGTGTACTATTAACAGCAGAGTGATGAACATGAAACCTTGGGTAGATGGTCGTATGCTGAAAACTGCAAGAGATTCACTTGCTGACGTTGAGGGTAATCGAGGAGTTCTTTGCGTATTACTTAGTAACAGTGCAGACCTTTGTCAGGCTTAATGTGCCGGTACGAATAGATAACCAGAATGTGATAAAAATACTGCATGGTGACAGTAATATATATGAGCTACAGGAAGTGACGTTGCGTATTGCGGGTGTTTGGGAATGTGTGGTCATTATTCGATTGGTACATAAACTTCTACCCTGCAGGTCTCGCGTTCCACTCAGGCTAATTGTCGAAAAGTGATGAAGAAATTATACTTTTTTACTCTAAACCTAAGTTTATATCTAACTTTCTTTCGATGTCTTGGTAAACAACAAGTTATATTTAAATATTACTTAGTCTCAGTTTGTACAATATCGAGAACAACCAGACTTTTTTAATTATTTTGTATATTAAAAATCTCTAACCGAGTATGGTGATTTTTGCGAGTATTGTAATGCCGATGATATACGTCCACATGGTAATGTGGTACGATAGCCGGAGACACCATAGCGGTACGCATAGTGGTAAGAAGCGATGTTTTCCTTTTGGTAGCATTACATAACTGAAATATAAATATACATTTGAAATAATTGATGCAATAGTGTTGATCAAGACTGATATTTTGTTTGCAGTTTTGAAGTTGTCCTCGGGTGTACCATGAAAAACTTTCACTGAATCGTTCTTGTTTATTCTTATTGTATCGTTATTACTTTAGTAATGATGTGAATATTAGTTTTGGCGGTTTTAAATCGTCTGGCTTTTTTTTATTGGCGTTTATGCAAATGCATCCTGCAACCTAAATATATACATATCGTGTATAGTGAGATATGTGTTATTGAGTGGGTGTGATATATAAATACCTAGTTTATAAAAAAACGTGCTCTCGTATGACACTATGGAGACAATCATTTCAATTGACATTAAAACTTGAGCAGTTTGTTACCATTAACAACTAAATGCCTGTTTGTAATACATACAGTCACTGGACATTCGTAATATCTGCTACCGACACTCAGAAACATGCGAACACAGTATTCAACCATGCAAATAAATTGTTGGAATCAAAAATGCAAAATGTGGGCTTCAGAAAACGTTCAATTTGACATAAGCATATCCTTATTATCAAGAAAGAATTTCAGTGTGAGAGTCACAAAATTTAATTTGGCCTTATGAGAATATTGTTGGCGTGTAGTTCGGGTAGTTAAATGGAAGGGCGACTGTTAAGGCAAACACAGTGTAGGGTCAGATGTTAAAAATATAATGCCCCAAATGTTGAAAGTTTTAGTTCGTTTAATATCGAATATAATCACTTTACATGCTTACATTTTAAAATAAATATTTTATGGTTAACATTATTTATTTATGAAGTTGTTGTAGATACTTAGTCATTCTTTTATGTCGGAAAATATAGTTTTACTTCAGTTGAATGTGTTGACATAAATTGGTGAATATTGTTATAGTCTGTCAAAGTTCACAAATGTATCTAAATTGTATCTAAAAGGTAGATTTAGCAGGTAATTGATTCAATGTTAACACTCTTAACCACATCAGTCTTATATGTGATATCTCAACTTCGACATTATATGGTGATATTATTTAAGTGTTATTAATTATGTCAAAGTTAGTGTCTATGATTATTTACGTTTCGTAGACCTGCCTAATTCGTAAATGCGTATTAGTGGTTATTGTTTTTGTATGGTAATGTGGAATACTGTCTATTTAAACGCAACCTTGTATATGATAGTGTACATTTGATATTGCATTTTATCATTACGCACGGGATTAAGACGTTATACTGTCCGACCACATTATTTAAAAGAAACTTATTTTGAATATGATCTTATTATAAGTAACCTGTTCTGCAAGAACGCCGGCGGGTTTGGTTCTCCATAATTCTCTGCCGTTTGGTGTTCTGATTATTTCATTCTCGCTGATCTTCTTCCAAAAGACTGGACATGATATGAAAGTGAGTCTTTGTCTTCTTCAAGCTCTTTTTCCTCTAATTTGTCACGTGCTTTTTTCTCAATACATGTTTAAAAATTGTTTCTTCCTGATTGATCCATTTTTTTTTTGTTCCTGCCAGTTTTAAATATATACATATGTATAAATAATTGAATTCACGTCACAATTGATTTGACAGATGGTATACCATCTGGTAACGTGAAGACAATATCATCTTCACTGGCACTCAGGAATTAATCGGATCAGTATTAAAATATCAGCATGTCAGGAACCTACAAGTACAGTAACACGAATTTCAAAGTACGTGGAACACGTGTATTGACTACATTTGTTGTGTTATTTATACTGTCAATCGGCATTGGCATTGGTCTATATTTTCTGGATATCAATAGAACAAGAGGTAAGATATATTGCCACGCCCTGTTTGTGAAGGACTTCATTTAACCATCGTTAAAGTAAAGTAGTTCACAATTAACATTTAAATGTATTGTAAACACCAGTCATAATACCATTCTTTTAACGGAGAATATGACGTTGAAATTCCTTGTTTTGTTATGATTGATCATCATCAACTATGAATAGCACATTGCTATTAAAGATATATGGTTACTACTGAACAATGTTAACTATCTTAAAAAGCGATTTACTCAACATTTAAGACGTTTACGCATTTTAAATCTGTCCCCTGATGAAATAAAATTCTCAAGGATGCACGTAGCTTTGCATGGGAGTGTTTCGGGTTGTGGTATCTTGTTGGCAAACCATGGAAGGGTTTTCACGACACGATGAATTAAGAAAAGTCCAAATTCAAGCTCACATTTGCACGAGTGCACACCAGCGCATTTTTTCATGACTGCAGACAAACTAGTCAATAGACAAGCCATTTTTAAATAAAGACGAATGTTCGTTGTTGAATGAAGTCACGAAGTCATATGCCACATTCGTTCCTTCCTCTGTTGGGAATGCGTCTGGTGAGACAGAAAATGTGCGCGAAACAATTTGAATCGCCCCTGAATTCATCACGAAAACGTTAGTGTTAGATCCTCCTCAGCGGAAGTTTGCGGGAATATTATAAACCTGTCGCATGATAAATCTTGTGGTCTGTATGAGATGCTGAATTGTCCGAGTTACGGACATCGAGTTGTGCACATCGAATTAAGAAAAAACATCGAGTTGACCACACCCATTTTTGAGAAACTATGCCCGCTTTCAAGAAGCCACGCCCAAATTGTAACTCTGTGTACAATTTACAGATAACAAACTTCGAATAACGAGCAGCATACATTTTTGTTTGTGTTGAACCTTCACATTTACGGGCAACATATTGTTTTGTTCAACGGTAAAATT